TGGTGTTCTGCTTGATTCTGTTTATTTTAAGATTGAGATGAAAAGTGTTTCAGCCTCATTGTGCACCACTGGGTTTGATGATTACAGTTTTTATTTATTGATCTCAAGGTTAGAAAACGAGCAGCGATACCCTCACCAGCATCAATATGTTGATACGCTGGTTGGATTTAACTTTCAGTCTCTGAGCCTTTTATCCTGCTAATGTCCTTCTCAAGAAGAGAAAAAATGTCCCAGATTAGATCAAATATCCTCCTTTTGACAGCTCTTTAGGCACCACCTTTACACATAAAGTGTTTACACATTCTTTGAGACTCACCTATGGTTTGAGTTCATGTAAAAGGAAAACGCCCATGATGCAGCAAAGATAGCATGTTGAGTTCCTGGTCTGTGAAAGTCTCCCATGACGGTGCTGAGCCGGGGGGGGGGGGGGGGGGGGGGGGGTGATTTTACGGCACAAACATCTGCAGTCATGACACAAACGTTGGTGGTTGCATTAGATTCAAATGAGAACAACAGTGTTTTTACACTTAAAACCACTTCCTTATGACTTATATCTGTTTACTGTGAACGTGGGAAGTGAAAAAGAGTGAGGTCCCCAGCACCACTCCTAAACTCGTCCGTCCACGTGCAGACAGACAGTAAACGGGATTAACTTCCTCTTACGTGTGTCTGTGCTCTTTAGTTTAGGTCACTAAAGTTATAAAACTGACTGTTTTTATTTTCACACGTCTGTAGCCACATGTTCCAGCTGTCATTTCTTTGTTGTTTCATGATGAGGTGCCGGTTTCTTTCACCCTCCACCCCCCTCTCTGCCACATTGCGCGTATATGCAGCTCCTGCAGGCCGAAGCCGATGCACCTCGGCTCGCACGGAGACAGAAGCACATGCAAACACAAAGCACTGGACTCCGGCCCGGCTTGTGCCAAACAGCAGCGAAGGCAGCGTCCAGTTACAGAAGCATCAATTATTCCTCATGCCGGGTAACATCAGGGGATCCTCCGAGCACTAGGCCCCTGCTGAACTTCGTCACCATGCCAGTGGCTGTGACGGTCACCATGGTAACCTACCCCTCTAACATCAGCACGGCTCACATTTGGGAAATGATACATTTGAGTTTGGTTGGGCAGCGAGATGATGTAGGATAAAAACGGAAGCACATATTAATGATGTCTGTGTGTTTGAGTGATTTTATTATGTAATTTAGAAAAGAGCTTTCAGATTTTCCCATTTCTTGATGTCAGAGATAAGCTTGTCCATCCCTGTGCTTGTGGGGGAGTGAGTGTCTGTAATTTCAGCCAGAAGTCTCCGTTTCCTTCCCCAGGACAGAGGGGCTCATTGAATTACCCAGAGACGTCGGAGACTGCTCCGTACCCACAGAGAAAAACACGCCCGTTTGTCTTCAGTCTGCAGTATTAGGAAACGAGTGTTGCAGATGAGGAAGGAGGTAGTCTTCTGTCAGGAAGCATCTCTTTCTGTGGGTAATTGGCAGGAACTCTCTCCCAAACCCATGACAAACGGTTAGCTTACTCTGTCTCCTTTAAAAAGACTAAAAATAATCTGCCAACATCTCAACGAGTTACTCAAATAACTACTCACTTGTTTAATCCGCCTGTTCTATCAGGCACCTGCAAAAATATGATTTATCAGTATCTGTATGTAGTTTCTCAGAACACATTAAAATCCTTCTGGTCGGTATCTAATCAGACGGCTGAGAGAAGAGAGACGACACTTCCCTCCTCTCCCTCGTTCTCTCTCTGATCTGCTCTCCACCTGCCTTTCTTTCTCCGTTTGTCTGTCCTCACATCTCACCTCCCACTGAAGTCTCCTTTCCATGTTCCTAATCCTGTCTGTCATCCACCCCCGGCAAATCCGTCTCTCTGCGTCTCTACTTTTCACCACGTTTCCCTTTGTTTGACGCTCGTCTCCTCCCCCCTGCCAACTACCTCCATTGTCTGGACTCACGTCTTTGTGTTGGGGTGTGTGGAAAAGGGAGAGAGAATTTTTTGTGTGGCCTGTTTTATATTTTTATCGTCACTCTAGTTGTTTATTGTACCGGAGCAGGTCCGATGTATCTGAATGGGTGTTTGTGAGGCTCATGTTATGAATGAGGTTGATCAGTCGTAGGTTTATTTGTTGAAATTAGTTTGTAAATATTTCATTCAGTTGGTTTTAACAGGGAAGTTTGTGAGTTGTGGAGGAAACTCGGCTATTAATTTAAATTTAACTCCGTATCTGTAAACCTAACAAAGTCACAACCATTTTTTTTGTATTGGTCAATATTGGTTATCTGTGGAAGCCAAATTAAAGCAGTTTCCTGCTTCTCCACCCTACTGGTTGAAAGTGGAATTACAACTGTTGTAAACAAGCCTGCTGCAGCTATTGCTAACAGCGAGCTAGTGCTAACATGAGCCGGCTAATACTTAAAATAAACCACATAGTAAAAAGATCCACACTGTTGGACACAAAATATTATAACTTACAAGTCCAGTAGCAACAAAGCCAGGTCACCATCAGTTCATGAATTTGTAGCCTCCCTTAGCACCCTCAGGGCCTCGTGATTTTTATAAGCGCCTCGTGATTTTAATCTTGAGAGGTGCTATAGAAATGATATTTTCTTCTTCTTTTCTTCAAACTAGCGTAGGCCGTGTCGATGTTCACTCTGGTTTTAGCTCTTTGCTTCACCTTCAAAGACATCACTCTCTTACTTTTACTTGCAGGCTCTGCCATGATGCCAACAGAAGAAGCTAAATTTTTCTTTTTCTTCTGCTTGTGCCTTTTATTGATGAACGAAAAACTAAATTAGCTAAAAGCCGTAATGCAGGTATAAGAGCACCCCCTAGGACACCTACCCGCTCCACAACATTGTTAAAGGCAGTACCTGGTCAGCAGAGGGCTGCAGAGTGGCGTCAAATATGAAACTGCTCAAGTTTCTAACTCATTCACTCAGATCAATGTTAAAGCTCTAGCTAATAAAACTAGTTAATGTTACTTTAAAGTGACAGTGTGTATTTTTTCTGGCTATAGGTGGCAGTAGATGCCTAAATCATTGCAAGCAAGCAGTATTTTTGTGTTGGAGTAAGATCTTACCAACAGATGCCCATTAGGGTCAAAAAGCCCTGGGGAGTGCAAACTTTAGCAAAATAGCAAGCACATCAGACTCCCTCTCATCACTGGCAACAAGTGAAGAGGTAAATGTGTAAAACAACATTTAAGAATAATGAAAGTTTTGTAACCATTTGTTACAAATCAGTAAATGCATTTTGTCCTCATGGGCTCCCGTAGAAGGAAACATGGCACCTAATATTGCGTCGCCCAGAGACTTAGACCCGCTCCCATGTATTTTAGACCAGATTTTTATGGTTATATGTTACAAAGCAGCCAATATTTTTCAACAACTGGGCATCATTTCATTCATTTTCAACATTTTAATGGAGATTTCCAGAAATGAATGGTAAAAACTACACATTGTCTCTTTAAACTAGAGCTGGGTGATATGGACCAAAACTTATATCTCAATATCCTGTAGCTGAATTTCGATATAAGATATTTATCTCAATATTTTTCCTCCTGTAAAACTTTAACAAGTTAACTCCCTTTAAGCTTTCTTGAGAAATTCTATACATAAATATATCAGCAGCTCTCCGTCCTGTTTGCTGATTACACGGGAAAGGGGTGTGGCCCGTCTCTAAACACAAGCAGGATAAACAAATCTCTTCAGCAGCCACGGTGAAAAGGTTCACTAAAACACGGATGAACGTGGCCCAATAGTTAAACATCACAAAGCCAAATGCAATGATAGAGCAGAACATCGACCCAGAGGTTTCCTGATCAAGCAAACATACGCCTGCTTAGAGACGGCGCCAGCTAGTGGATGGCAGCACCTGCTAACTCTAGAGGTACGCTGGTTGTATAGTTATATCTGTATAAATGAAATAGGTCATCTTGTTTGAAATTGTCGATACTTTAACAATTTTGTTATAAACCCCAGCCCTACTTAAAACTAGGGTTAGGGTTCAGCCAATGATAGCTTTGTAAGCTACACACACTTACACGGGCAAAAACATCATCACACGCCTTTTACTTCTCCTTAATTCACTCACAGGCTGTTGCCCGTTTGTCATTGAAACTCAGGTGCAGGATTACTTTTGAGGGGAAGGTTACTCAATATGTTGCTCAACTCTTCAGAAGAGATGTGGAGATGATATCATCTCACACACACACACACACACACACACACACACACACACACCTATGGCCTGTCCCGGGGGGATCGGCTGCAGTACTTTTCCGCTGCACCAGGCCAGCCTGCCTGGTCTTGCTGCACAGAAACATTTGTTCACCTGCTCTTTTGTGACCAAACTGTTTGCATATGAGGAAAGTCGGGTCGGACGCTCCCTTGAGCCGACATGATGCTCTCCGCCCATCCAGCTCGAACGCGGGTTTTTTATTGTTGCGTCAGTCCTTGAAGTGGTCGTTGAGCAACAGGCGCTCTAATGGAGAGCTGTCATGCAGACGTTATTATGACTGAACCTGAGAGACGAGTTTTTATAACCACACAGACAATGTGAGTAAACAGGGAATGTCGCAAGGATTAGGAACAGCAGCAGCAGCATATGAATGGGTCTTTTAAGAAACCAAGTGCAGGTGTGTGTGTTGGTGTAGTTTGTTGGGAGAGTCACACTCCTCCTCCAAACTGGTTCTCCTGTGAATATAACTGTTGGACAAATCGTCCACCATCCTTTCATCATTTATTTATTGTTTTAGTCAAATAAGTGTTGCAGTTTGCTTGTAGGTGTTGTTACCTGGATTCACCACTAGATGGAGCCGATTAAAGAGGGACCATTTAATGTTGGTCTTATTTGTTCGGCTGACAACTAAACGATGAGTTAGAATGATTATTTTTATTGATTCTAATAATGGTTGTTTTTCTTCTTAATAAATATAAAGTGTCACTGATGTTCTGCAGTAACTTTCTGTGGTTACCTGATGAGATCTGCGAGTTCTTTCTCTGAGGCATTGATTACACTTTCCTGATGAACAGTCTGCCGGCACTCTCTTGCACCTCCTGGGTCATTTTTGTCACTCCTGACCTTTGACGAGGCGTGTTTCATCGATGCATCCCAGAGGTCACGCTGCTCTCCTGGCACACAAACGGCCAGAGGTACAGTTAGACACCAGATGAGCAGCTGGAGAAAATCAGGGTTAATCATTAGGTCACTCGTGCCTGGTTCGCCAACATAAACAGATTTCTGAGGGAACAGCCTGCAACAACGAGACGGGCACAAAGACACTTGACGTGTCTGACTTGTGTCTTCTGGCTTGATTTTTACTCATCCTGACATCAAAGCGACTCTGATGGAGCTGCTGCGCTAATCCTGCAGAGCTAGAATCTAACAGGAAACCTTTTGATGAGTCCATTAACTTCCTTTTTCTGTTTTTGCCTCTGATGTCCTCAAAGCTGGATGCTTAGTAATTAAATGAAAAAAGCAGGAAGTGACGGTAAACCATTTGCTCTTCTTTATGTCGTGTTGTCCGTGATCAGGCCGTTATGAGATCAGAGGTTTGATAAGTGTGGCAGGACGAACCAGCTTTAATGTCGTGAAGCTTTTGTTGTGGTCTGTTGAAGCAAAAGCAGAATTATTGATTACTTCCCTCATAAACACATCAGCTACCTCACGAGGCCACTTCAGAGGGCTACCTCCTGATTTACTGTTGTCTAAAACTGTGAAAATAACAACTGATCTCAGATCTGTGTGTTAGTTTGTACGTGTGTACAAACCTCAGAGCAGCTAAACTGATCCGAGGCACCACAGGGTGCTTTAGTCGGCGTGCATGTATAAAACATGTGTGTGTGTCTGTAGTATGGACGTTCAGACAGTTACCGCGTTGCCACCACACAGGACAAAGATGACCGATCCCCCAAGAAGAAGAAGGGGGGGAAGGACATGGAAGACCTGAAGAAGGAAGTGCCCATTGTGAGTAAAACCCACCTCCTATCTCAGAACTGAATCTGTTATAGCTGCTGCTTCTGCTTTGTTTTAACACCTGTTTGGATTAAAATAACTCTCCGTCCGTCATGACCTCGGTAACGAAATGAATCCCTTTTCGACGCAGACCAGAATAATTTATTCAGCTGTGAAAAGGGTTGAGTTATCAGGACGTTGTGAGTTTGATCCCACAGGGTCGCCATTTCTGGCTGCCCTGAGACTCTGACCTCTCAGGTGAACTGCATGCACTAAATTAACCTGTAATTACTTTTATTTACCCATGTCAGACCCCAAATCTCTTATTGAATATAATCATATGTGCATTGCTATTGTTATTAGTGTGTTACTCCCACCACTGCATGAAAGTACGTCAACAGTTGTAATATAAGAAAATCCTTTATTTGTTCCACAAGTGGGACATTTGCAGTTGTGACATTACGTAGGATTAATGTGCTTTTTGCTTGTTTGTTTTCTTCGTCTTCTTTCACAGACGGAGCATAAGATGTCCGTTGAGGAAGTGTGCAGGAAACTGCAGACTGATATCGTCCAGGCGAGTCATTTTTGATGGTTTCTCCTGTTTAGCACTAGATGGCGCTAGAAGCCCTCTGTCAGCATTTAGGAGCACTGAGACTCCAGCTCAACTCACTAAACCACATTTAATGCTAATAAAGGACAATATCCAAGAATTTGAACCCATTTCCGTCAGACCGGGCTCCGTGTAAACCACTACTGCCTCTTCTCTCCAGGGCCTGACTAATGCCAAGGCAGCAGAGTATCTGCTCAGAGACGGCCCCAATTCTCTCACCCCTCCACCCACCACCCCTGAGTGGGTAAAGTTCTGCCGCCAGCTGTTTGGTGGATTCTCCATCCTGCTCTGGACCGGCGCCATTCTCTGCTTTCTGGCCTACGCCATCCAGGCAGCGACGGAGGACGATCCTGCAGGCGACAATGTGAGCAAAGCAGATTTTCCACAAACATTTTCCCATCTGGCTCATCTTAAACCTCGTTAACACATCAGTCACGCGTTGGACTTTGAAGTTCTGCATAAAAATAACACCCTAACAAACTGATTCTACCGCTTCTCCCTTGCTGCACCTACATACGTTTACCTGACCCTGGCTCTGTTTGGTGGCAGCTCTACCTAGGTATTGTGCTCACAGCTGTCGTCGTCATCACCGGCTGCTTTTCTTACTTCCAAGAGGCCAAGAGCTCCAAAATCATGGAGTCTTTTAAGAACATGGTGCCACAGGTGAACGTTTTACTGTATTCAACGTCTGCTTTTACCTCAGAGTTATTTCAGTAATGTCAGAAAGGAAGAGAGTGGGGAGTTTTTAAATGTCTTTGCAAAAATTTTCACTGTTCGCTTATTGTGTGTCCTTGAAGCAAGCACTGGTGATCCGTGAGGGAGAGAAGGTGCAGATCAACGCCGAGGAGGTGGTGGCTGGAGATCTGATCGAAGTCAAGGGAGGAGACAGGATCCCTGCTGACATCAGAGTGGTTTCTGCTCATGGATGCAAGGTGCACACACACACACACACACACACACACACACACACACACACACACACAAACACATGTGCGCGTTTAACATTCTGCTTCAACATTAACTCATTCCTGCGTCTCTTTGTTCGACTCACCAGGTGGACAACTCCTCCTTGACAGGAGAATCAGAACCTCAGAGCAGGTCACCTGACTGTACCCATGACAACCCGTTGGAGACCCGAAACATTGCTTTCTTCTCCACCAACTGTGTTGAGGGTATTTGTCGCCATGGCAACCGTATTGTGTGCCGCTCTAGACTCGTGTCAGTGTGTTTCATTTTGAGCCAAAGACCTTTCGGACGTGACAGAATTGAAACCAATAATATTTTTGTTGTTCTGGACAGAAAAAAAATTTAGTGATGGAAATTTAAAACGCCTCCTGCTGCTTTACTTTTGTGTTTTGTGTTTTAAATCAGGCACAGCGCGCGGGATTGTCATTTACACCGGTGACCGCACAGTCATGGGTCGCATTGCTACTCTGGCTTCTGGTTTGGACACCGGCAAAACTCCCATAGCCAAGGAGATCGAGCACTTCATCCACATTATCACAGGTGTGGCCGTCTTCCTGGGTGTGACGTTTTTCATCCTGGCCATCATCCTGGGTTACTCCTGGCTGGAGGCTGTCATCTTCCTTATTGGCATCATTGTGGCTAATGTGCCCGAGGGGCTGCTGGCCACAGTCACTGTAAGTGACCAGCAGTTCTGGATTAGCATGTTTGGTACCTTTTGATCTGAAGTTTATTATTCTGAAGTGGAAACGTACCGTTTTCTGTGTTTTGATCATTTTTTCCCCACCTTGTGTACGTTTTTCCTCCCAACAGTGTTTTCTGTGTTTTTTCATTTCTTTAAAACAATTTTCTCCATTTCTAGCTTTCCTGCATAAAGGATTATACCACTACCCACTTATCATTTACATAATAAACACTCGCCCTTGAAACCCTAACACTGAGTTAGCTTTATAAACGTGTGTCTGCAGGTGTGTCTGACCCTGACTGCCAAGCGAATGGCCAAGAAGAACTGTCTGGTCAAGAACCTGGAAGCTGTGGAAACCTTGGGCTCCACCTCCACCATCTGCTCTGATAAGACGGGCACCCTGACCCAAAACAGGATGACCGTGGCCCACATGTGGTTTGACAACCAGATCCATGAGGCCGACACCACCGAGGATCAGTCAGGTTAGCGAGGAACGGCGTAAAGCACGGGTGCTGCTGAAGTCGGCAGCTGTAAACCCGTCGTTTTCCTCTTCCCACAGGCGCTTCGTTTGACAAGAGCTCCGTGACCTGGATAGCTCTGTCCCGCATCGCCGCCCTGTGTAACCGCGCACAGTTCAAGGCAGGGCAGGAGTCGGTGGCCATCCTGAAGCGAGACGTAGCCGGAGACGCCTCCGAGTCAGCTCTGCTCAAATGCATCGAGCTGTCCTGTGGCTCCGTCAGGCAGATGAGAGATAGGAACAAGAAGGTGGCTGAGATCCCCTTTAACTCCACCAACAAATACCAGGTGAGTGATCACTGAACAATATCAGCGTCTCTTTTGTTTCAGGGTTAATCTTGATCTGTGTTCTCCTCATGCAGCTATCGGTACACGAGACGGAGGACCCCAATGACAACCGCTACCTGCTGGTGATGAAGGGAGCTCCTGAGAGGATCCTGGACCGGTGTTCAACCATCCTACTGCAGGGCAAAGAGCAGCCAATGGACGAGGAGCTGAAGGAAGCGTTTCAGAACGCATACATGGAGCTGGGAGGACTAGGAGAGAGAGTACTGGGTGAGAGGAGGCAGCGGTGCAGACGGACGACCGAACGGGAAAGCGTCGATCATTATAAATATGGATTTAATACAGAAACGCACAACCGGAATAAATGAGTCGTAATCCTAAAATAGATTTCTTATAAAAATAAACAGACTCCTCTAAATCTACTTCTGTTTGTAAAAAGCTGTTTTTAGCCTCCAAAAAGGTATTTTTATCACATTAGAGAGTTAGAAATGATTTATGAAGCGACAACAACCCAAAGTTCCCTAATATCCAAGTTTAGTGAATAAATGTTCTCAACCAGAAACTATGGCAACACCAAACTTTCATATCTGCTTTTCCCTCCAGGCTTCTGTCACTTGCTCCTGCCAGAAGATCAGTACCCCAAAGGTTTTGCCTTCGACACGGATGATGTGAACTTCCAGACGGACAACCTTTGCTTTGTCGGCCTCATGTCCATGATCGACCCTCCTCGTGCCGCCGTGCCTGATGCTGTTGGGAAATGCCGATCTGCTGGTATCAAGGTTAGCCTTTGATTTTACTCAACACAAACTTTCACATAGTTTCTAAGTATTAATAGAAGGTTGTCTGTTTCTCCTGTTAAGGTCATCATGGTCACTGGTGATCATCCAATCACAGCCAAAGCCATAGCTAAGGGGGTGGGCATCATCTCAGAGGGCAACGAGACGGTGGAGGACATCGCCGCCCGTCTCAACATACCTGTCGCTCAGGTCAACCCAAGGTAAGGAACGTTTACAGGGACGCTGACACAAGCTTCCCTCGTGTTTATGAGCTTCTGTCTGCATTCAGAGACGCCAAAGCCTGCGTGATTCACGGCTCCGACCTGAAGGATCTGTCTCAGGACCAGATGGACGACATCCTGAGGAATCACACCGAGATCGTGTTTGCCAGAACCTCCCCGCAGCAGAAGCTCATCATTGTCGAGGGCTGCCAGAGACAGGTGGGATCCTGTTGTTGTTGTTTAAAACAGCTGGGCTGGATCAGCCTGGTGTGTTCTACTCAGCCAACACTAGAGGGTGCTAAATCACCATCCTCGTTCTGACAGAGCCCGTTTAAAGGGTTATGTGTTTTGTTTTTAAATGTGGAATATGTTCTCATGTTCATGTTTAACTCATAAGATGGTGGTCGAGTAGCAATTTTAAAATGTATAATAAAAGTTTTCAACTCAAGATAACCTTCATAACCAGAAACAGAACCTCTGGGCAGATCTAACCTGCCTCCCGTCTCTCCCAGGGTGCCATCGTGGCCGTGACAGGTGATGGCGTGAACGACTCTCCCGCTCTGAAAAAGGCCGACATCGGTGTTGCCATGGGAATCTCCGGCTCCGACGTGTCCAAACAGGCTGCAGACATGATCTTATTGGACGACAACTTTGCTTCTATCGTCACCGGAGTCGAAGAAGGTGGGAAGGCTTGACGGGGAGAACATTCAGAGCCATTAAATTAAAGGAAAGAGCCTTAAATGAAGGAATAAAATGGGATTTAGATGGAAGGAAGAGCAGGGAAAAATCCTGATGTTTAGTTGTAGAGATGCATCTCTTCCTGTGTCTTCTCCACCAGGACGCCTCATCTTTGATAACCTAAAGAAGTCCATCGCCTACACCTTGACCAGCAACATCCCAGAGATCACGCCCTTCCTGCTCTTCATCATTGCCAACATCCCTCTGCCCCTGGGAACCATCACCATCCTCTGCATCGACTTAGGGACTGACATGGTGAGAACTGACCCGACTTCACACTTTAAAGAGCAAGTCACCCCCTGCAAGAAACTTACTCCACTCCCACTTCATGTTTGAAAAATGCAACAAATGCTGTTGCCTGGCAGACCGAGAGGGCGAAGCCGCTAACAAATACACACACACACACAGGCTCACAACGGCATTGTGACATCATAGTGTACCTCTTAGCCAATGGCGGTAGCAGATCTAAATTCAAATACAGTGCAGAATTTTTACCTGACGACGGCACAACACTGACAGTTTTAGGCAGAATATTTAAATTTGAACTAAGACGCACTGAAGTGCCAAATTATTGACCACACGTGTCTGCAGCACAATTAGACGCTCGTTTATTTAGTTTATCAACAAAAAAAGTTGATTTGGGGGTGACTTGCTCTTTAAGCATCTTTTCAGGATGAAACGGTCACGGATTGTCCTCCCACAGGTTCCTGCCATCTCTCTGGCCTATGAAGCAGCGGAGAGCGACATCATGAAGCGCCAGCCCAGGAACCCGTTCAGGGACAAGCTGGTGAACGAGAGGCTCATCAGCATCGCTTACGGACAAATCGGTGAGTGAAGTGGCGGCTAGACCGGACGATTCTGGCTGTAAGTTATAAAGGAAGATCGGATCAAATTAGATTTAACACTGAAGTGTGTGTGTGTGTGTCCACCCACAGGTATGATCCAGGCTCTGGGAGGCTTCTTCAGCTACTTTGTCATCCTGGCAGAAAATGGTTTCCTGCCCAGTCGTCTGCTGGGCATCAGGCTCAACTGGGACGATCGTAGCCTCAATGACCTGGAAGACAGCTACGGTCAGCAATGGGTGAGTGTATTCTGTGTGTTTTCACTCTTCGGGTTCGTCAGCCGGTCTCACTCTCCTCCTGCCGTCTCCTTCTGCCTCAGACGTACGAACAAAGGAAGATTGTGGAGTTCACGTGTCACACGGCCTTCTTTGTCAGCATCGTCGTGGTGCAGTGGGCTGATCTCATCATCTGCAAGACCAGACGTAACTCTGTGTTCCAGCAGGGCATGAAGTGAGCAGAGCCATCTTCCCGCTGATCCATTTTGCTTTGTGCGTGGATTTATTTGGCTAATGTTTGTGGTGTTTCTCTGCTCAGGAATAAGATTTTGATCTTTGGCCTGTTTGAAGAGACGGCTCTAGCGGCCTTCCTGTCCTACTGCCCAGGCATGGACGTGGCCCTCCGGATGTACCCTCTAAAGTAAGTGTCCGACACCGACGTCCCCCTGGCCGATCCACGCCACTGCTCAGCTTCATGGGTTCTTTCTTCTCGCCCACAGGCCTTCATGGTGGTTTTGTGCATTCCCCTATAGTTTTCTCATTTTTGTTTATGATGAAGTACGAAAACTTATCCTCCGCCGGAACCCTGGTGGTGAGTCTTTGTTCTCTAAATGAGATTTAGTTCCAGCGATGACGTTCTACTCTCCTGCCTCTAATCATCAGCTGATTAAAGCAGTGAAATGAGCTTTCTTCGGTTGGTTGCTTAGGAGCAGAGGGCTTTTAAGGAGGAGAGGCAGGTTGCCTTTAATAAGCTGCTGTTTGTTCCTCCTCCTTTGAACTTTTCAGGTTTTTTAGCTTTATTTTTGTCCGTAATCTGTTTTGAATCAATATTTTAATTATTCTATAAAAGATTAGTCACGATTTCACGTCTACATTTTATCTCTGAGCTGAAATCTTATTTTCAGCCACAGATGTGCAGCTTTTGTAGTTTTCCAGTGCTAAGCTAGCTGAAAGCAGCACTTCCACATATCTGCAGGTTCAGGTTCTTGGTGTTTATATGAAAATAAAATATTTCTAAATGTTTCCCCTTTTTTCTCATCTTTATTCCAGGTTGGGTGGAAAAGGAGACCTACTATTGATCACCCGAGCACCTTTGCTCAAGCCCCTCTCATCTTCTGCTCATTCGTTCCCCCGTCACTCCATCCTTGGCGAGACACATCTGCAGACGTCCTTTTCCCTTAAAGACAAAAACCGCTTCAAAACAATTTTCATCACGACTGCCCCAAAGAGATAAAACGGCAAAAGCACCTTTACAACTTTCTACATTGACCCGCGCCCGCTCTCCTATGATACTCTTTGCATGTGTTCACTGCTGTGTACTTAAACCAATATATCTACCAAACGGCAGCTGCATATCATGTGTGTAGATTTGAATGAACTTCAGAGGCAAAGGGAGTTACTCTGCTCTGCGAAAAGGACCATCCAGCTCCTTCTGCTGTCTTTCTGTAGACCTCCATTGCCCCCCCCCCCCCCCCCCCCCCTCCTTGCCAACCCTTTGCTTGTCCTCCAGTCAAACACAGATTAAAAGATCCCGACGCCACTTCCACTGCCACCTCTCGTCTCCTGTTTGTGATGACCCACAGAGCGGTCGTCTACCCGACCATCTCTCCTCTCTTCTCCACGGCCACATTGTTGTTGTTGGTTTTTTTTTTTTATTAATGTGTGAGGTGGGAGGGATTTGGATGATTTTATTTGTCTTTTTTTATTTCTAATACGGGAGAGAAGGTGTGTGAGAGCAGCTTTTCCTCATTTAGGCTTAACAAAGCACATCCCGTGGTGTCCTGTCTTCCATCTCCCCCCTTTTGTCTCTCTCACCCCTCTTCTCCCGCCCCTCCTGCCCCATTTGTCTCCGTTTGTGTGCACAGTGTGAACCATTGTCCTTGTTATTAACTAATACAGTACATCCCCTCTCCCACGTTGGTAAAGACAACTCAATCTTTGTGTGCTCTAGGAAATCTATATAATTCTATACTGAATTTAAACGAAACAATAAAAACCATGTTGAAAACAACGAGAGACCTTCATGTTGGTGAGTTCAAAAAGAAGAAGCGAGGACATCCGTCTCTCCTTTAGCGTTTTATTTGTTTTTGGTCGTTTCTCAGGAGGCTTCAGGTTCCCGTCACTGCATGTGTGCAGGTATGATGTGAGTGGATGAGTCCATGTGCCTGGGGCCTATTCACGGGACCGGAATCGGGTTCGGTCCCGATGCTGACCAGGTCGGCCCAGATCTATGTGCATGTGTGTGTAGAAGACCAGTGGAGGGCCAGAGGAGACTGAAGAAATAAAATAAACATGACTGGTAGAAAGTGTGTGTCAAATAAATGAAACCAACACCAATAAAACATCTAGAACATTTAATACAACCCAGACCTGCTTGTCTGCATCTTTATTTATAAAAGCCTTTCTCACCTTTATGCATTTCCTATCACTTCTGTACTTAGGTGTGGTTATTGATGATGGGTGTGGATTAATAAAGCGGATGGTAATCTGTAATTTGCTGTGAAGAGAGATTTATGTAGATCATTTATAGTTCCTGATTGATTTTGAGGTTCTCCAGTGGTGAAGATTTTTGCAAATAACAAATGATCTTAATTGTTCCAATTCAAGTATTTACATTTCCTATCTTGTAATTATAGATCATGCACAAATGTGGCAGATTTGTAGCCATGATGACTTAAAACTGCAGAAATCTGAGGACTAGAGGCCACCTAGTGCTGTAAAAAGTTTTGCACCTGCAAGCTTCTGCATCAACTGCAAGGCAGAGTTGGCAGCAGCTCAAGGGACTGCACCAAACCCACTCTGCATGCAGACTGTTCTCAGAGCAGCCCAGAACAAACAACCACTGCTCAGATAAAAATAACTCGTTCTGTGAATATAGCAGAACAGGCTGTAATGGTGCCACCTCTCAGGGGCTGCCTATTAAAAATAAAGCCCTCGCTCCCCAGGGCGTGCACAAACTGAAGGAAACAGACTCTTAAACAAAGCTACGGTTGGACTCTTAACTTTTCCACGATCAGGAAAACATTTAGGACATGTCCTTTTGGAGAATCACTAAAACTTTCTGGGACTGGTCCACTGCTTTCCAATGACAAACCCTTTCCTGCTCAAACACACACTTTCTGTCAGTCTCACTGACAAACACCCTCTCGCCCTCACCCTTGTTCTAATTTCCCCCGTGTCTCTGCAGCGAGCTCGCTGCCTCTCCTCCCCCCTCGCCACCCTACGTATAATAGAATATCGATCGCTTGGCTTTGCCGCAGTGTGTAAGCGAGTGTTCCCGTGTTCGAGTGTGCGTCTGACTGGGGCCCTCCAAGGTCATTGCCATGGCAACCTGAGCACGGGGTCCTTTTGCTGCGCTGTCACAGAGCACAGGTCACAGGGGTCGCGTGAAGAGGTGGAACAAGAGGGGGGGGGGGGGGGGGGGGCACGCTGCAGTTTGGTGCACTTAAGAGATACAGGGAGAAGAGGAGTCGTGGGTTTGTCGTCCTCCGCCGTGGATTCAGACTGGACTGGAATAACAACACATACAGAAATATGTGCCGAGGGCCACCGAGTCCGACGCAGCGACTGCCCCGTGCGTGCACATGTACACGCCAACTCTTACGAGAATAAAACTAAAGACAAGTAACAGTAACAGAATTTATTGCACTTCCAACGTTTCAGCACAGAACGCATAATTTACAAATTAATTTCTAAAATGTGCTTTTCGTGACCTTTCCCACCAGAATGTCTGAACCAGAGCTGATCAAATAAATAAAAAGAGAAGCCACATAATGTTCAAAACTAATTAAAAAACTAAATGGCACTTGACCTTCGGACATGCGTCGATACCAGCAGTTTGGATGGTACCGTCAGAATTTACTTTGCAGGATGCCCACAGCTAGGAATTCAGCGCAGATGCTCCGCTAAAGAGCAAGAGGCTTCATGACACAAACCAGAGGCATCGCAGGCTTAATATATGCAGATAAAGGCGAATAATGTGCTTCAAGCAATAAGAAATTCATTATTTATGCATTTGTGTAACAACAGTTATTTATCATGCAACATAAGGTGCATTCTTAATACAATGCCATAAGGTAAACATGAGGAAGAAGGATATATGTATAGATATAAAAAAATCTTCAAGGAGATTCTCAAAGGGTCAAAACGAGGACTGATCATGGAGCAGCTCTTTAGACGGGCTCCATGAGGAGCTCATCCAGGTCCGCCGCCTCCAACTCTCGGAACGCAGCATGAGAGCCGATCACAAACAGAGTTGCTCCTGACAGGAAACCACACAGAACAGGAAAAATGGATGTAAAAAGAAACGATTTTAGTTCGTAATCAAGATGAAACATCAGAAAAAGATTACGAGGAAAGAACAAATCATGTTCAGCTTACCGAGAACCCAAAACACAGCGGCTCCGGCTCCTGCCAACCAGAAAACGGGCAGAGAAACGGCTCCAGCCAGACTCATCTGGTGTGGGACTGTCAGTTCTCTGCCTGATAAACAAAAAATATGAAGAAAAATATTAAAAATAGGGTTTGTGGTGCTAAATGCAGCGTGGGTTAAATCCAGAACAGGCATGGATGACATATTTAAAAGATTTCACACAGAATAAAAAAAAAATAAAGACCTTGAATGTTAAAAAAAAAAAAAAAAAAAAAAACTAAATCTGGTAAATTTGAAAAGATTATGGATTTGTAGGAAATGTACTCACCGAGAACAACCAGTTTGGACTCCAGAGACTTAAGGTGGATGGCGTAGAAGGCACCAGCATACACGGCTAAGGCAATCAGCAGCATGGGCGAGCTGATACTGAGGAGCAGGAAAAATGAACAGGGCTGTCAGGCTGGAGCTATTTAAAGCAGACTGTCGACATTTTTCTAGAAGCCAGAGTCTCACAGATGATCTAGTTAACGGTTTTTGTTTTAATGAAGCTTTCTTTGATTAGGTCTTACATGCAGTAGAGGATGAGCCCCAGAAATATGAAGGTATAGTTGCTGTTGTAAACTTCCACATTTTTAACCACCCTCTGACACAACTCTCCAAAGTTGCGAGGTTTTGAAAATTTGCGCTGGTCTACAAAGCTGGCCCACGGTCGGATGGACAACCTGCGCCTGTCGAACCACTCCTTAGCCATGCTGGCCGAGATGCCTTTAGGAAGCCAGAGCCTATAAAAATAAACAAAATAGAATATCATCAACACACCAAAGCCAGGGTAAAAATATGAAAGCATGGTGGTTCACACCTTGAGAGGACTCCGATGCCCCCTGTGCCGGTTGGATGGGCCTCATCTGGGATGAACAAATCTCCAGCTTTGCTGTCCATGTCCACCATGACGTTCTCCCCTTTAGGCACTCCAGATAACATTTGGAGACTGTTGACTGAAACAGAATCACATTGAATGTGGACTAAACGTTTACAAAAACAATTAGCCTGGATTTAATCATTTTTATTTGATGCAACGGCGGGTGTAGCATCTTATTTAGACTTTGGTTGCGTTTCCACTCATTTTCTGGTAGATGTATTATTATTATTATTATTATTATTATTATTTATTTTTTTGCCTATGAGCCCCTTATTTCTGGTCTATAAATCCTTCAGGCATAAAACATTTCTGAAACTGGTGTAGTGTAGTGATGACATTTAAATCCTATTTTTTAAATTAGAATTGATGACAAAATACCAAAGATTAAACAATTTGAGACATTAAAAAAGGTACTTTAACACACACACACACACACACACACACACACACACACACACACACACCGGATTCCAAAAGATATATTGACTGAAAACTTGACATATGGTCGTTTCTATAACTGCACCATTTTCATTGACCTCAGATCTACTGTAGACACATGTTTTAACCCCAACACTTCTTCTTGTATCTTTCATATTCCTCGTGTTCCCAGTAAACCTCCCTGGTTCTTAAGCTGTTTTGAATGCAATAATCGCAAATGTCAATGGAGCTAACTTTTGATTTTTCTTTTTTTAAAACGCCACATTTGACACGTCATAATCTAAAACGATCTCAAGTGTATAAACAATCACTGTCTAATGATTACATGTCTTTCTAGTTTAATGGCGATCCTTAGTTAGAGAAACAGGAAGAAGTAGAAACAGGGCCCGGCCAGTGCCACATCACTAAATAAACAGGATAACCGAGAAACTCTCGTTACCAAACAACAGTGTCTAGAAGTAGCAATTTCAAATATAAATATTATACTCACGACGAGTCTATTTAAAACCTGAATGTAAATGTAAAATGCTAGCTTATGAGCTAATGTTTACGTCTACTTCCGGATTTTATTTAACGTCAACGTAATTTTCACTTGTTTTTAAAATAAGAATTTAAATTACAACATACCTGCCAAAATGCTAAACCCTTAAATCATTCACCAAAATGTAGGCAGAAGTTTCACCAGACAGCCTGAGCTGTCTTTTGTTGCTGTTCTGGATCTCGGAAGTGATGTGGCTGCTGGAGAAGAAGAAAAAACTTCCTACTTCGCTGACTCTAGGCAGGGCCACCTACTGGCTACATAGAGTACTTCGAATTTTGTGTTACACAACACAGGTGGAACTTTTCATTTGTATTACTTTTTATTTTATTTATTTATTTTTTTGCATTATTTTTACTTCATCCAAAAAACGGAGTTTTTTCTCTTAACAGCCGAAAACACATCTGTTGAAAAAGCCGACCTGAGATCGGCTGCCTGGATTCTGCGGTGGCTGCTCAAAACCACACAAGCACGAAAAACTGACTGCAGATCAGAAATGGTAAAAACGTGACCTTACGTCATGTAACAAACAAAGAGGCTGTGATTGGTAGATAGACGAGTGTTGTGGTGCTGCCGTCACTGGGCACGCGGCACTGTGGAAGTTGCTAGATCCGCCAGCGAAAGAAAGGAAACAAACATTAGAAGGTGAGGCGCTATTAATTATCTTATCAAATTTAGCTGTTGGAATGTTTTTACGTGTTGTTAAATGTAATCTTCAGACCTTGGGGTTTATGACAGTTCTGTTTTTGTTAGTCATTAATAAAGTAACGTTTCAATGCTAAAACAAAATGTACGCGTTTTATTTTACAAATGCACTAAAGGGGGACACAGCGCCATAGCAGCATATTAGCCTACGCTGGCTCCATTAGCTTTAGCTTATTCGGCTCTTTAGCTTACTCAGCTCAACAGCTGTCCTGGCTGGGTGTTTAATGACCGTTTTTTTCTCCACAGAAACCGTGACAGGATACATAAACTCGTATAAAGCGTAAAACCGTAACACAAGAGGAACGAGTCGTTTCAGGAGCCTCCAGCTGCTTTCATACACATTTTGCCTGAAGATAAAAACGACACAGCTGACTGGTTCGTGTGTGTGGAGAGCGTCAAGCTGAAACGGTAAAAGGTAGGAATGTTCAGCTCCACACACACTGAGCTCACGTACATTAACATTTTATATCCTGACTCCCGAGGAAAATACATTTCTATGTCATATTTTTTCAAAATCTCACATATATATATTATAACTTAGTCGACTATAAGTATAAATAATGTCAGAAAATATGGTGTAAATAGTTGCATTTTCCCCAAAAAAGCTAATTATATTTTATATTTTTGTTTAATTTCCAATAACAATCAGTATTAATATGATTATTTAAAAAAATGCTCAACAAAATAGGGTAAATAACAGCAAATAAACCAAACTGGAGAACGTTTATTCAAACAATTGATAATTGTGTTAAAATATTGCTAAATTACTAAATTAGGTTAACATCCCCCAAAACTTCCTAACTTCCTAACATCTCCCAAAATAGCTTGAAAATGAGTTTTCTTCTTTTCTTTTTTTTTTTTTTTTTTTGACAAAAGTTGCTTTTAAGAACCTCGTTTTCCTTAAATAGTAAGTGGAAGTTCTTCAAGCCCTTTCTCTAAAGATTTATGAGTTGTATCTGGAGTATGCATGAGGTCGGAGATTTTTCCAAAAGACAGGAAAAAGAATGCACAATTCTACAATTCAAGTTTGTGCCAAATAAAGTTATTTTAGTTTTCTTGTTGAAAACTACAATATGCTGTTTCAATTAGAAAAATAAAATAGTTTTAAACTTGCATGAAGTACTGAATAAAGTTTAGACACTGGACGCCTCTTACTGTAGGATGTGAGTTGTTAGCAGTCTTCAGATAATCTCCAGGAACCAAATTAAATGCAACAATTATTCCTTAAGTATATTAATCTAGACGTAAATGTTGCTATAGATAGAAACTGTTAAGCTAACATGTTTATTAAAGCTGTTTATTTGTTTGTCACTGAAAGGTGGAGCCCGGAGGCATTTGGGAGGTCATGTTATCTCATGATCCTGCGTAACCATTGAACTTACACAGAATCAGGGTTGCTGCTACATTTAATTGGTTTTAGCAAAGATCAAATTGCTGTAACTCAGCCAGCTTTACAGATATGGACCTTAAATTAGTCGTGGCCGTTGTTGAGAGACATTCATTACTCTTGGTACTAACATTTCTGCAAGACTGTGTGACACGTCAAGTTGTGTTTTTTGAGGATTCGACTAAATCGGATTTAACACACAGGTCAGATTTTTAAACCCTGGCATGAAAGGTAATGGGTGATGTACAAGGAATGTCGGGCCTTTATGTCATTGTTTCATTGGCTTTTTAGCAATATTTGTATTTTTCAGCTTGTAGCATTAAGGCTCTAAACTCATTTGTTTTTAATAGTTTTTCGTGGACTGTATGTTTGGAGGCTGGGCATCTACCTCCATATCTGTATCTTGTCCTTTGTTATGGTCCAGTAAAGTCATTCTTGTGTTCCTCTTTTTCTTAATTTCAGCTCAGGACAGAAGGTGGACAATCCCAGACTATGGCTACAGTGCATTTTCCAGGGCCCACCAACAGGGACTCGCTCTACTGGGATGAAACAGAATGCCTCAACTACTATGGGATGTTGTCTCTACATGAGATCTTTGAAATAGTTGGATGTCAGCTAACAGAGACCGATATAGAAGTTCTCTCTTTCCTTTTGAATGAAAGCTACTCTGCACCACACCCTCTCGACCCTGTAGGCTGGACTATTGAACCTGCTGAAGACGATCCAGAGGACTTGGGCTTGGCACCGACTCCACCGCTGCTGAAAGCGTGGGGACGGATAAAGCCCAAGGCATCCCAGCCATCGTCAGTGGACATAAAGCCTAAGAGTGGTGTTGGGCTGCTGTTGGAGCTTGAGAGACGAGGATATCTCTGTGATGGCAACCTGGAACCACTGCTGCAGCTGCTGAGAGTCCTCACTCGTCATGACCTGCTGCCTTTGGTGTCTCATAAAAGAAGGAGGACGGGTGAGGACTTTTAAACGAAAGTTCTTTACAGTTTGTTTTGTAAAACTCAAAGTATTTGTTATTTATGTTAATTTAGATGGCTCAGTGATAAATAATCTGTTTGTCTTCCCAGTGTCTCCAGAGAGAGTTGGACAGAGGTATGAAACGAACAGAACAGAGTTGGTGTTTGGACTGCAGCATACCTGCAGACAGACAGAGATCCCATTCTCATCTTTCACAAACCCATTTACCACCGGTGAGTGCACTGTCCAGAACCAAGGCCTACCAAACCAGCAACACACAAAGGTAACTGGGCCTTTCCACAGGACGCGTAAGCGTTAGGATTTGGGAGCGTTCCGTAAGATTCCAGAACACGTCAAACTCTGCAGTTCAGAGTGTTTGGGTTAGCTGTGGCGCCACTGCCGTTTCGTATCCGTGGCGTAGCGCCACACCTGAGCCTATGTAGGAGAAGCTCTGGAAGAAGAAAAGGAACCAGACGTTTTGGATACCTGCTGTCATCTTTCTAGTTTATTGTGTGACCTCTGGAAATCACTCGTGGTGTTGCAGTTCTGTGATTTCGTGACCTCGCAGGTCCAGCAGCATGGAACGCTTATGCTCCCATTTTGCATCTAAAACACTCCGGTTGGAAGAAAGCTCGCAGGTAAAACCGTTTAGTACGTTACGCGCCGCTTCCAGTGGAAAGGCGGGGTAGGAAACATCGATGGTGTGTTTGTTAAAGGCTTTGTGATCTGTTCGTTTAGTCAAACATGTTGATGGATGAAGACATACTGTATATATTAACTTTTGGTTTTCAAACAGTGGAGAAAAATTAGCTGTGATGCCATCTGCCCAAATCATTCAAATGAAAATCATTAACTTGTTTCAAATCTTTTCAGATATTTCCTCCCCTTTGGCTGGTTCATCTACCAGGAGGCAAAGGAGGAGGAGGGGTTATGGTTGGAGCCGTAGGTCAAAGAAAACAACCAGACTGGTCCAGCCACTGCCTCCACCAGCACCTCAGAAAGTGTCATGCGGTAAGTGTCACGCATGCATTTGTGAGTTGTCCTCTTTCCGGTTTATTTCCCCTTGTCCTTCAGTAGTGCCACCATTCTTTTCTCTTATTTATTTTAATTGAACAAAGGGAAAATGATCTTCCTATTAACACCTTTCATTCCTCAGTTTCCTCTTTTCTACTCGATACTGATGCTGTTCGTCTGGATTGAAGTGAGAAGTGTCCTTATTATGGGAGCTTCATCAGTAATGTTGACAGTTTTACCTACAGTTAAAACCACTGAGAGAAAATAACCGGATGTAGCATTTCCACCTGACTTAGTTGTTCAAAAGTGAAGCCAAAATATCCATATTTAGTGTTTGTGCACTCAAGATGTGTGGATGAAGGTCCTGCTTACTCCCCCACACACAATCGCGGTGTTTTTCTTCTGACATCAAAGGATCCATTACAACGAGTTGTGCAAAGAAAAGTTTTACATCAACATAAAGCAGCAGGTTAAACGCTATGAGAGTCAGTAGAGGACTACCTGAAATTACTGATCTGAGGTGTGTTTATTTTTGCGTTTTTTTTTTTTATTAGGTGTGTTTATTGTGATGTCACAATAAGGAAAATAAACATAGAACCCCTCCCCCCCTCATGCAAGGTGCAATGGCTCTACCAGCAATTGGCAGCCAGCCAATCAGGGGACGAGTGGGCGTGGTCAGTAAAGCTTATTTGATTTAAAGAGACAGATCCCTGAAACGGCTCATTCTGAAAGCTACTGGAAATGCCGTGAAGGGCTGGTGACATTGCTTTATATCAGACTGATTCTGTGCAAAAACGCCATGAACATGTTTTGTATAGACCGTCGGACTGTTATAACTTGTTTGAAAAGAGGCATAATATGTCTCTTTCCAGTTTATTTTGGCTTCAATTTCCACCTGAGTCTAGTTAATGTATTTGTTGATGATTAAGACGAACTGTATCCTGCTTTTAAACAACATCAGAGATTGTGTTGCCTTATCTGTTTCTCCACCCTGACCTGTTTTTCAGTGGTTCCCCACCTTTTTCTTCCCCTGCCTGTGTCCAAGGTGAGCCAGGACTCCCAACCTTAACTCCTAACTGCAAACGCACACATTAAAAGTGATTAATTTCAATTTTTGTACAGACATCCTGAGCTAAAACTCCTCTACTAAGCTTTGATTATACTATTGTGACAAACGTTCGGCACAGACCTCAGGTTGGGAGCCACTGGATTAGACCCCGTTCAGCTGCTGCTACTAAGTGTACAAACTCTCTTTTATGTGCAGCTTTTTTTCCCTGCTCTAATCCCGAGTTTGAGCAATGTTTCTGATAACAGACGAGGCTTATAGGTAGGGCTGAACGGTTTAAGGAAAAGATTGAATTGTAATTTTTCTGGCAGAAATTGCAATTTTGGTTCAGTTCACGATTTTCTGCAAACAAAGGTCCAACACTAGCCTGCCAAGCCATCCTGTAGATGAAGTGAAAAGATGGTCTAGATTGTAATCTAGTACAAAAAAATCATTCACATTAATATTTACTATTTAATCATACAATAAAAACAGTTAAAGCTACCGTAAATCCTCTAATACAGGCCGGTATTCAATTAAAGGCCGGGTCTCCAATTTTGGCCGGTGTCGGAGTCAGCGGAGGTAAATAATGGCCGGTCTCTTATTGTGGCCGGGTGGAATGTGGTGACAAGCAAGTATGAGCGTCCCAGCGGCAGGGTTATAGTCCCCAAATCAACCAGCAGGAGGCAGTAGAGGTTCACGCTGACCTTTATTGAGCTTTTTCTTCAATGCTTTGTAACGCTACAGACACGATCCTCTATCACGCTCCTACCACACAGAGTCACGGTGTCAGTTAACCATGCTAATTCAACCCCTCCACAGAACACACATCACCTTCCCTGTGCCTTACATAACACTCACACAACACGCAAATCAGCACATAGGAACTAGCAGAACGATAGGAAACACATATAACACAATACCCAGAATGCACCTGGCTTACAACCCCAGCCAGGTCATTACACTATCAAGTTCAAAGAGAACGTGCTGATTATGCTGAGAACACTCTGGAGAGCAGCAGTAGGGGGTGTATGAACTAGTCAACTTCACTATACAGTAATCCCTCACTATTTCGCGGTTCGTTCATCGCGGATTCGCTGCTTCGCGGATTTTTTCTTTGGAGCATTTTTCAGGGGGAATTCGCAGATTCGCAGTATTTTTCACTGATTCGCGGTATTTTTCTATGCGAAATATCAAGAAATTCTTGTTTTTTTCATCAATTTCATCATAAAATGCACTTTTTGTAATAAAACAAAAAAAAACAAGTAAAAAAATTTTTTTTTCTTGAGTTTTACCCACAAAAAGAGAATGTGATCATACGATAATTCAATAGGGAGTGTGGTTTCACAGACGCGGAAGTGATAGCGTCGGTGAAACGCCGGCTGATCTAGGAAACCCCCGAGCGTTCGAGCGTCAACGAAGTGACACGGAAATGCCGGGCTTTCCAGAAGTAAGTAAGATAACTTACTATGAGCTGATAATTCGTTGGATTGATCGGTAGGTTGGAAACTCTGATCATGAATCTGAAGAAACGATGACTGAGTGGTGAGCTGGAAAGGCGACTTCCGTTTATAGCCACGGTTTGTGACGTAGGTGCAACGTGGAGGGAATCCCCGCGAGGGGCATGCTGGGAGTCCCTACTTCGCGGATTTTCACCTATCGCGGCCAGGTCTGGAACGCATCTACCGCGATAAACGAGGGATTACTGTAGTGACTTGTTATGCCTGTCATCGACTAGTCGCTGTCACGTGATAATGACCGGCAAGATGCAGCCCTCGGAAAAGACAGCAGCCTGCTGTCAGCAGGTGTGCAACGCGCTGTGCCAGACCGTAGGTACTGACACGCGATCGTTCATGTCAGTTCATTTCCTTTAATGTTTTCTGTCTTTTATTTGCGCCTGATGTGTATCGCTGCTGTGGAGCGGGGCGCATCAACTTGTCCTCCGACGCACAGATCACTGATGCGCCCGGCAAGCAGGGAGCGCTCCGCTGTTTTCGTGGTCGGTAGATCTGCCTCCTGAGCACAGCCACAGTAACAATCAGGTGTCGCCACCTCAAAAAACTAATTTAACACGCGATCGTTCATGTCAGTTCATTTCCTTTAATGTTTTCTGTCTTTTATTTGCGCCTGATGCGTTTCGCTGCTGTGGAGCGGGGCGCTGCGCGCATCACCTTGTCCTCCGACGCACTGATCACTGATACGGCCGCCAAACAGCGAGCGCTCCACTGTTTTTGCGGTCGGTAGATCTTTTAGAACTGCAGTTCAAAGGTAACTCATGAGGTGAACATATATGAACCCAGGTAGCAGTTTTTCTTTAGGATTGAGAGGAGATGCAGGAAGATAATAAACAGACAGGACAGAAAAATAGTCAAATAAAAACAAGTTAGTTTTTGTACCTGCTGTTGCAACAAACAGACACCATTGAAGGTAATCAGAAGTGAGGAACAGAAAATGAAATAATTATTTTAATGTTTAGAGCAGCAGGAACTCTGAGAGGCTGCAGGCGCATCAGTGAGTTTGCAGCCGCTGCGCAGGGGGAGGGGGGAGAGGGCTGAAGCAGAAACTACCGTTGTTAAAAGAAATGTGTTTAACTTTGAAAATGTGGGCGCAATTTTAATTGTCAAAAACTCCAGCGAACCATTAGTTCATTTTGCTCAATTAGAAATAGAGGCCTGCCTCTAATACTGGCCCTCCTTCCAATAAAGGCCTGGAGCTTGATGAGCTTGAGTCAAATAAAGGCCCGGGCCTGTATTAGAGGATTTACGGTATTCATATTTTCTCCCATTATTATCTTGTTTTATTTTTATGTTTGTGAAGCAACTTGTGATTTTTATCTAGAGAGGAGCTTTATAAAACATGTTCTACTGCAAAAATGCATGGAGGACATCTGTAGGTAGAAACAGCTTTTAAATGTACTAAATAACAAAAATGCAGTTTTCCTGCGTTACTGAAGCCGTCTGATAGTTTTTCCTCACTAACCTCAGCTCTGCGAGAGAGACGCACACATTCTGACACCTTAGCTTGTTTGAGCTAACGTGTGTCGTCAGAAACATTCAGACCATTTTTAAAAGAGAAGTTGAGCTTTCAAGTCAACTAAAGTGCGCGACTCGCGCTGATGAAGCATAAACCAAGCTTTAGAAGTCAGCCTGAACCTGCTGATGTAGGAGGAGTCTCTCTCTCTCTCTCTCTCTCTCTCTCTCTCTCTCTCTCTCTCTCTCTCTCTCTCTCTCTCTCTCTCTGTCTCTGTCTCTGTCTCTGTCTCTCTGTCTCTCTGTCTCTGTCTCTGTCTCTCTGTCTCTCTGTCTCTGTCTCTGTGTTTCTCTCTCTCTCTGTCTGTGTCTGTCTCTGTCTCTCTCTGACTGTCTGTGTCTCTCTCTCTCTGTCCCGGGCTCACCTACGGTGCCGTTATCGGCTCTAGCAGCGCTGTGTGTGGGAACATAAAACAGGGAAAATAACCTGAACATGCAGCTCTGGCAGCTGTGGAGTTGGGCTCGGCTCTGGACGGTACATCCCACCCCCCCTCCCCCATGCTGGCTTTTGCCGCCGCCATAACACGGGGAAAACCCAGGATGTAAAAAAAAAAAGTTACACAACTGATCCTGGATCAGTCAAAACTGCATCTTTGACGGTCACGTGATCGTGCTGTTTGAAATTGCAATTTCGGTCCAAAACCGATAGATCGTTCAGTCCTACTTCAGCCTTTTTGATTTGAACTGTTGCATGCTGGGAGAAGTGACGTCAACTCCCGGAGCTCTATTGGCTGATATGCCAGAAGAACCACCCCCTATTCTCACATGTGTAGCTCAAACCAACAGCAGTGCAGTAGCTTGTTTATTTGATGATAAAGTAGCCAATAAACATCAGAAAACAACAATCTCTCACACGGGGACCCCTCATGATCAGCTCCTGCAAACTGAGTAAGAAAGCCTGTGATTGGTGGGTCGCTGTGTGC